AAGCACTTCTTTTTGTTTTGTTTTTATCTATATCTATTCTAGATTCACTAACCATGATCTTCGCTATGGTCCTCATCTCTTTAGTTATCTTTTTCTTTTTTTCCTAAAGACTTATCTGTTTTGTTATGTCTACTGCTATCATTTCAAAAAGTTCAGCTGGGTGGCTTTTTTTTTTTTTTTTAAACCTTTTTTATATTATTTATTTGGTGTAGGCTTTCACTACTTAGATGGGACTCATAGTGATCCTCCTATTTCAGCCTGCCTAACCCTGGGATTGCAGGCATGTGGTACCGGGGATCAAACCCTGGTCCTTGTGCTTTACAGGCAGGTGCTTAGATTGCCAAGCTATCTCCCCAGCCCTCTTGGGTGGCTTTTGATTTCTTGTACCTCAGTGCCCTTTGGATTTGCCTCTGGAGAGTTAGGGGTGTTGGGTTGCATCTTGCTTCCCTATTTTCTGTTTGTTTTCTGCATTAACAGTTGTAAATTGCTTATGGTAGTTAGCTTCATTACTACTTGCAAGACCTCTTTAGGAAATGACTGCTTTTCAGAGGTATGTTCTAGGCTTTTGGATCTGTACAAGGTCCTTAGGGGTGGGAGATTCCTGCCTGTTTGTCCAGGCACCCAATTGTTTGGTATTGGAGTACAATATTGTTTGTGCTCTTCAGACAATCTAGGTATAGGTGTACAAGGAAGAACAGCTGATCACAACCAAGTCCACTTGGCTAAAGTAGCAATAATAGTAGCATCAAGCTCATTCTAAAAAAATTACAAACTGATAACTGTTAATTTGCCACCTTTAACCATAAATATAAGATGTATAGTTGTATAACAAAATTAAAATATAAAATTAAAATTATACTTTGTAATTATCCCCTCAATAGAGTGAGGTACCCTCAAGGCAGACAATTGAAAAGGAGTAAGAGGAGAAAAAATAGAAAAATAAAAGAACAGAAAGAGATTAGAAGCAAGGCTAAAGGACAAAAGATTTTTTAAGCTTCAGGGAACTGGTGAAGTTGACGGGAGGGAGGGGGAGAGAGAGAAAGTAAAAAAAAAAAAAAGAGCAAAAGAACCTTAAAAACAATGTTCACATTCATGAAAAAAGAATAAAGAAAAGAGATTTCTCTGTGTTTTCAAGCCTCTGGTTATCTTCTGGGGTCTAGGGTTTTGTGACAGTGTACAATTCACGATGTGTTTCTACTGATACTAGTAGACAAACGAGGCAGACAGAGCCAAGATCCATGCTGGATGACCCTAGCAGGCTGCAGTAGGGTTAGGGTGGGATGCTGATTGTGGTGCTTTCAGTCTGACAGAAGTTTAGGCTGATCCTGGCTTCTTGTGGGTTGGAGCTTGAAGTTTTCAGCCTACAAGAGTCTGGGTGTCTCTTGCTTGTCTGACCTCTACTCCCTGACCATCGACAGCTCCCATGTTTGTCCCTTACCCAGTCTCTGGGATTTCAACATTGGGAATCTTGAGATGAAGCCAACCCAGGGCTGTTTCATATCCTGGGTTTTTAGTTGGTCCCTCCCCAAAATGCCACCCACCAAGCTCCCTCTCCAGGGGATAGGGAAATGTCTTGGACTGGAGCCACTCACCAGCCCATGAGTGGGCTGTGTCTGTATGTTTCACTGTGTCTGTATGTTTCTTTCTCAGGCCAGGAGCCCAGAGAGGAACAAAACTGCTGGCTGCCCCTCAGTTTTTCTATGTAGTTTGCCTCTTCAGTTTCCCTGTAAGCTTCAGTTTTTCCTTCAGCTCCTTCTTCGGTCCCAGGCTTCTACCTGTCCTCCTTTCCCTCCCGAAGTTGTTATTTTCCAGTGACTGGATTCTGAACCTTTGGGAAGGTGATTTGTAGGTGCTTACCACCCTACCATCTTCTTGCCGGTTTCAAAAACCTAATTCTTTTTCTACTGCTACGTAACATTTATGAGCTGACAGTGTTGTAGGTCAGAAGTTCAGCAGGCTTGAGGAGACTGCCCATGTGCTACCAGGCCAAAGTCAAGGTACAGTCTGTAGGGCTCTGGAAAGAATCTGTACTGACTGCAGAAATTAATGTGTATTAGAGCTTCCAAAATAATTCTTCTCTGCAAAGTGCTGCTAGAAAGGTCCTAGCCACCAGAGGGCACAAGGACCACAACACGCAGCAGAGGTCCAGTGACTGCCAGCTCTTACTGCAAGTGTGGTCTAGATGTTGGCCACATCACAACACTTGGGAACTTTGTAGAAAACTCATATCTCATATCAGAACTCATGGCCTGCTGAATCAAAATCTAATTTAAATTTTCTGTAATGATCATGAAGTACCTGAATATATTTTCATGTTAGAACAGAGTTTCCATGAGTGCAAGAATGAAGTACATTTTTTTCTGAGATCTGTGGTGTTGATGAAGGAATGAATGGCGTGGTATATATGAGAGTCTGTTCTCTTTTGAAACAGTTCATTTAGTTTGCTACAGGTTATAAAATAATGATGTTTGTTGGGCGTGGTGGCACATGTCTAGAATTCCAGCACTTGGGAAACTGATGCAAAAGGATCTTCATGAGTTCAAGGTCAGCCTAGGCTATCTAATGAATTCAGGGCCAGCCTAACCAGGATAACCAGATCCTGTCTTCAAAGAGTCTAGTATATTATAATCATCTCAAAAATGTGAGTTCGTATAGTGACTTTGGGACAGTTAGGTATTTGTGTAGAAAATGTGTATCATATATATATATATTTTTTTTTTTCTTTTTTTTCTTTTCTTTTCTTTTCTTTTCTTTTCTTTTCTTTTCTTTTCTTTTCTTTTCTTTTCTTTTGTGGAACCAGGGATTGAACTCAGGCCCTTGCGCTTGCCAGGGAAGCACTTATTCCACTGAGCCATCTCCCCGGCCCCTTGTATATTATTTTTTAATGTGTGTGTGTATATATATGTGTGTGATTATATATATTATATGTATTTGGGGGGGGGGTGCTGGGTATTGACCCCAGTGTCTCACATAAGCTAACCAAGTGCTCTACTATTTAGCTATGCCCTAACTCTTTCAATGATTTTGAACTAGTTGTTTCCAGTGTGAGTGGTGTTTAAAAAATAAATAGGCAGACGCAGCAGCTGGGATTTGATCCCTTGCGTGTTGTGGTGATGCACACCTGTAATCCCAGCTCTTGGGAGGCTAAACACAGGAGAATCACTGAGTCCAGTCTATGTAGAGAGACTTTGTAGACCCTGTACTAAAATACAAAAAGAAAAAAAAAATATTACCAGATAACAAAAGAAAGCCAACTCTTGTCAGTGGATTTAATGCCAGTGGATTATGTTATCCATGTTAACCATGATTCATGAGAAGTTTACAGTGTGTCACTGTTGGTCACTGTGTCATTGATACCTTATTTTTTATTAGTATATAGTAGTGATACAAAATACTTACATTACTTTTAGGGAATTGGCACATAATACATATTGCATCACTTATAACTATACTTTGTATATTTACTTATTTATTGTCTTTTGGAGAGAGGGTCTCACTGTGCAGCTCAGGCTGGTCTTTAGCTCACTTTGTAGCCGAGGCTGGTCTCTAACTCAGCGATACTACTGTCTCAGCCTCCAGAGTGCTGGAATTATAGGCGTGTGCCACCATACTTGGCTAATACGTTTTCTTTAAAATATAGTTTATGTGAAAGCTGAATAGGGCCGGGGAGATAGCTCATTGGGAATAAGTGCTTGCCTGGCAAGCGCAGGGTGCTGAATTCAATCCCCAGTACTTCAAAACAAAAAAAAGCTACAGAGTTTTTTTTTTTAGTATATGTGCTGCAAGAGCGAGCACTCTTTTCTTTAATGCCTGCTTGAATTGATATTTTGTTTTCGTACATAGACATGTCAAGGCCTAATACTTTACAGTGCTATGTAGAACTATTATTACTTTTGGAACCATACAAATGTATTGCTTATTCATAAAATTTAAAAAGTTAAA